GTAACAAGCGGTGCACCGATGTAGTTCATCACTCCTCCTCAGCGGTGGCCCCTCGGCTGCCGTGAAGACCGATTAGAGTTGCGAAGCCATTGTGCTTAACATTCCCCAATGGTTTGGTGAACACGTCTGCCCGCATTACATCGCTCGGGCAGTACTGAAGCTTGACTTCTCCTCTCTCGCAAAGGTCACGTATGAAGAACTCCTTCGTGTTGATGTGTTTGGACCTTCGGCTGTTCTTTTCGGATTGCACGAAGGCCAGACATCCTTGATTATCTTCGTGTACTGTGGTGGCCTTCTCTTGCTTCTCTCTTAAGTCCTCGAGCAATCGCCGTAACCACAGAACTTCTTGGCACGTCTCTCCTAGTGCCACGTACTCTGCCTTCATGGACGAGAGGCTCGCGCAGTCCTGACGCCAGCTAGCCCAGGAGACGGCTCATCCTGCGAAGAAGACAACGAAACCAGTCGTCGACTTTCGCGTTCCTGGATCTCCTGCCCAGCCAGAGTCCGAATAAGCTTCAAGGTCACCGTTATGTGATCCACCGAGTTTCAATTTCCAATCAGCTGTCCACTTCAGATAGCGGAGCACCCGCTTTGCTGCCTTCCAGTCTCTTTCAGTCGGACCGCTGAATTTTCGTCCTAAAATTGCAGCACCAATGAGACTACGGTACATGGTGATATCCTTCATCGCTTCACTTTAGCTGGTGTCTTTGAGGTATCCTTGATCCATAGGACTTCGCGCCACTTTGGCATTCTCCATGCCAAACTCCGAGATCAATTTCTTGATGTACGACTGAACACTTAAGCTGTATACTCCATCCACGTCCTTCGTAACCTCCAAGCCCAAAAAATGCTTGACTTCACCAAGACAGTAGATATCGAAGTGTTTCTTAAGCTGGTTGTATACTCGAGTTAGCTCCTCCTCGTTAGCGCAACCGACTAAGATGTCATCAACATAGACGATCAGATAAACGGTAGATCCATTTCTTATAGCAGTATACAGGCACGGATCGGCGGAGCTGGCTACGAAACCTATTGCCTTCAGAACTTAGGACAATTTCTTGTTCCAACACCTCGCTGACGTAAACGGCATACCTTCTCCTCTTGTTCGCGGACCACGTAGCCAGGCGGCTGGCGCATATAAGCCTCTTCGCTGATAACACCGTACAAGTACGCTGTACGGACGTCCAGGTGCTTAAGAATCATCTTATCCCTGCCTGCTAGGGCAAGCAGTGTCCTCAAAGTGGTGTGATGGATCACCGGAGCAAACACTGCACTGAAATCCACTCCGAAACGCTGCGTATGCCCTTGTGCCACGACTCGCGCCTTTAATCGTACCACTTATCCAGACTCGTTCACCTTTACCTTATATACCCAGCGACTCCCGATCTCCTTCTTCCCTGGTGGTAATTGTACCAACTCCCAGGTACCGTTGTCTTTATGCGACGACATTTCATCATCCATTGCTTCTTTCCACAAATCACGCTCCGGACACTTCATTGCTTCGTTGTATGTTCCTGGCTCCGTTAACGCATGAGTGACAACTCCTACCTCAAAATCGTTGTATCTGTCAGGTAACTTGTTACGGGTTTTACGGACACCTTGGCTACTCGATTCGCCCTGATGGTCTCCTTCGGGCTCTTGTTTCATATCTAGGGGGTTATCCAGAGAAGGAGTGGAGCTCAAATCGAAGAACTGCTCACATTCGCTTTGATCCATGGGGTCGTGGGATGCTTCATCCTCGCTTTCGGCATCGCTATCGTCCATCAGATCCGGCACCAGCTCGGCCACCGATTGCCGATCACGTCCACCATCCTTACCAGCAAGCCACTCTACCCCATCAGTCATTGAATCAGTTTCCAACTCACCCTGAGGCAAACTGTCAAACTCCAAAAACTTAGCGTCACGGCTAATAGTGACTTTTTCCGTCGCTAAATCAACGAACCGATATCCCTTATGCTGTTCGGAGTAGCCTATAATGTGAGTTTCTGCGCTTTACTATCAAATTTCCCATGCTTCACATCCGGGATGTGAACCCACGCTTGTGACCCGTAAACCCTCAAGTGCTTAACGTCAGGTTTCCTCCCATACCACTTCTCAAAAGGTGTTGTGTCCACTGAGCGTGAGGGCAACCTGTTTTGCAAGTAGGTGGCAGCCAGTACAGCTTCACCCCAGTATTTTTTGTCAAGTTTCGCATCGAGCAACGTTGTTGTAGCCATCTCCTGTAGGTACCTATTGCGCCTTTCGGCCACGCCATTCTGTGGTGGCGTATAGGGGGTGGTGAACTGGGCTCTGATCCCCTCCTTCGCAAAGAATGTTTGAAGCTTCTTATTATCATACTCGCCGCCTCCGTCAGAGCGGATAACTCGCGGCTTTCTACCAAACAAATTTTGAACGTACCAGACATACTCGATGATCTTGTCGGCAGCATCCGACTTCCGGGCGAGGAGATACACGACTGCATACCTGCTAAAGTCATCTATGACTGTCATCAGGAAGCGGTTGCCGCTGGGTGTTGCAGTTCTCATCGGCCCACACAAATCTGTGTGCACCACATTCAGAATTTGCGTAGACGCTCGTTCGGCCGCTCTGGGGATCGGCGTCCGCGACAGCTTCCCCTCCAAACACGTTTCGCAAGTCAACCTGATTCCGCAATCCTTCAGCGTCATCCCTGCCACCAGATTTTCTCTATTCATTCTATCAACACTCGACGGATCACGGTGTCCGAATCGGCGGTGCCACTGGTGCTGACACAGTTAATTGTGCTGCTTGGTTTCACTCTTCATCACTGTTTCCACCGTTTTCAGGTGATACAAGCTACCAGATCACCACAAAGTCCTTAGAGGCTGAAATCGCAAACAATCTTGCTTCATGTGGCCCGACTTCTTGTAAAAGAAGCACACAATCTCGGATTTGTCTTTCACTGCACTGTGCAACTTCACGCTGCTCTTCAACGCCTTTGCGTCACCGGATGATCCTCCATACCACTCCTTTCTGCGCTCGTACTCGTCCAAGAGTTTGGACCGGACCAGCTCAACGGTCATATCTTCATCTGGCCTGCCTTCAAGCGCTGTCACCAGACTGCTGTAGGAATCTGCGAAACTCCTCAAAATCATAGCGATTTTCAGCTGATTTTCCAAATCCTGCCCGGCGTTCTCCAATCGCTCGAAGAGATCATCCAACTCGATACTTCTGTAAATTATCCCAGAACTCGCGGGCTGACTGTGCTGTTTTTATGAGGCTGTATTGGTTGTCCTCAATGCACAACCCCATAGTTACGCGCGCCATTTTATCATCCTTGGTCCATTGGGCCGTTACAGGCTCCGGCTTGACACCATCGATGACGTAGAACAGCTCCTCCCTGGTCAGGAGCATGGACTGCCAGTTTTGATTGCTCAGCTTCGAAAACTTGCTGATTGTGTCCATTTTCCTGGCTGTTGCACGAACAGTCACGCACACCGACAACAGCAACCAAAATTTTTTGCACCGACTGTACACCCGCCGATGGCGGTGCCTTGCCCGAAAAAACGTTTCCTTGTTTTACGCGATAAATAACCGTTTTTCCTCACAACCTCCACTGGGCCCATAACCTGTAGGCCGAGGTGGACAGGTTCAACAGTGGATCTACGTCGGCTGAAAAGAATAACCCGGAATGGACACGAAATACTTTCGAAAAAAAAACACGCGTTTGCAAAGTTACACGTTTTATTCAAGAATGGAAAGCAAAACCAACAGGGTAACTATTGGTGATGAGCGCCAAGGTTATTATAATGATATGCGCTACCAAGCTACATATAGTAACGGGGGGTGCACCGATGTAGTTCATCAAAACCTACTACTAAACCAGATTCAGCTCAACAAGCTCCAAATGAAAGGTACACCGAAAAAGATATGGAAGATGTAATAAATCCTAATGTGAATGATATAGAAAATTCAAATTTAATGTAATGTTTAATTGGCAAAGCTAGGTATATCTATCCATTCTAGCATTGGATGCTAGTCGTAAACTAACGGGTGAAATAATCATGACCGCATTGTTCGAGGTCAACCTGGTCTATATAAATTTTTACGTCGGGTTGTATTGTTGCGATATGTGAGAGCGTGTTAGTGAAAATCCGTGGAAAATACATAACAAATCGCTGTCAAACTCAATTTTTAGGTTAGTCAGAGGTGAATAATAAAAAAAACTTTACACGGTGATGCACCCCCCAGTGTGCGTGCGTTGAACGTCACTAATATCTTTGCAAGGTGTGGAATTTTAGGCCTGAATATATTGGTGCACTTCGTTTTTCATTCGGCTTTCATACCACTTCGCACGATTCGTTTCTTTCGTTCATTTAAGGTGATACTCTAAGGAAGCCTTAGCGTGAAACTTTAAAGGCACAAATGAAAGCTTCCACAAAACATACAAATTTGAAATTGCTACTCCTTGTTTGCTGTGCTACTACAAACAGAGAGTAGCAATTTCAAATTTGTATGTTTTGTGGAAGCTGACACTTGTGCCCTTGAGGCTTCCTTAGAGTATCACCTTAATCACCCTTGTAGTGACGTAATAACGTTTGTTTTGATCAGCGCTTGCATAGGAATTTAATATGGATATGGTATTTATGTATCTTACCACAATTTATGAATGGTCCGCCACTAAATGTTGGGATAATTTATTGATTATTGAATTCTCACACTGTATATCATGGGAAAACAGCCTGTTTGTGAGTGGTTGCCTGTTTTAAATTAAAGAGCTATCATAAAAAAAAAACAAATCGCCTGTTGATATTTACTGGCGACTTAAGAAAAGAATATAAAAAAAATAATCAAGCAAAATCATCAGGCAAAAAATAGCTAGGATTTGTTTTACTTATTATTTCGCGAAATTTCTTTCTAGTGTTATGACGTCGTCACCATCATCTCCGGCAAAATTTACATTTTTCGCTCCACCAACACATACGTCAGGGCTAGATCTCCACACCTTGTATATCGTTGGTTGTCTGATAAAGTATCCAGACATGCTCCGGGTATGTTTGGGAAAATGGTCAGAATTTGACCTGTGTTCATGCAAATCAAACCACATGCAAATTTGAAATCACCCCGTTTCCTGAAGTATGAATACCGAGCTTCATTGTGAGTATCATCAGAAGCCGATATCAACTAAAATTCGAGAACAGGGGTGGCATTGCGCATCTCGATTCGAGAAAATTCAAACTCGAATCGTGTTAAGTTTGGCATTACGTATTTTTTTCGACTTCATCATTTTAACGTACTATATTTCGAGTAAAATATGTACTAGGTCAACTCGAAGAGAAGTGTCAAATGTATGTTTTTACAAACAAAATAAAAGTGCTCCGCTGTACGTGTAGAAAAAGTTTCCTGATAAAATATTAAAATTCATTAAAAAGAAACCTGAAATGTGTTTTGACGATTGTGAAAGTGACGAAGACGCTTATTCCGCAGAGACGTGAGCTGAGGGATAACAGTGACCCTTTTTCTCTGAGTGAAAATGAGTGAGTTGATCCTTATTATGTTTTTGATGTGACCATAGTAGTACTTTAGTGCAGTGCAGTACTTTAGGCTAAGCCGCAAAGCGTTTAAATTTTTGTTGAATGTAACGTTGTTCCCGCCAACTTCCAGATACACTGCTATGCCTTCTGTATTGAAACTAGCGACCACAATCAATCTCCTTGCTAGTGGGTCGTATCAAGTGAATGTAGGATTGATTGGAATGGCCCAACCATCAGTTTCATTAGTGTTTAATGAAGTGATACTTCTGTTGGAGAGAACTATATGCGAAAACTTGATAAAATTAGATCCAGTATCGTTTTTTGACAAATTCAAAATACCCCGTGTAGTGGGGTGTATTGATGGTACTCATATACCGATTTTGAGACCTGATGAACACATGTACTTTAACTGGAAAGGGTTTCACAGTATCAACGCTATGATGGTAAGTAGTAATATAAAGCATTTACTTCAGTATACTTTTCTTGCCTTTTAATTAGATAACCGATCATAATTATCGCATCCTGGCTGTAAACCCCTGCTACGGTGGCGCCGCTCGTGATTCCTTTGTGTGGAGCATGAGTGAAGAGCGAGAATATTTCGAGGAAAATTTCCGAAATGGGCAATCGAGATTGTTAGGTATTTTTTAACTGAGTTTTTTGAGTAGTTTTATTAGCAATATTTGATTTTCAGGTGATAGTGGATATGGGCTAGCACCATGGTTGTTGACGCCATATCGTATTGTCAATGAAGGCTCCGGAGAAGAAACATTGCCTGTAAGAGGAGAAGTAGGTAATGATCATGGTTTGGAAAGTAGGGCACAAAGAATTAGAAATTCTATCAGAGATTAATTGGTTGCCTGATAAGAACACAATCTTTACGCATTCGAACTGAAAAATCATTATCTAATACATATTCCAAAACTTACGTATACAAGCCCACCGAGCTTGTGGTACTAGAAAGGTTTCTAGAGAATGCGTAGGATTCAAAAGAATCTTATGCATGTCGGACTCTCTTATCCGGAGGCTTTAAATAAACTTCACTTCGGATAATCGAATCACCCGGATAATCGATCATGTTTTTTTTCGGGCCCATATACGGCTTTGAATTCTTATATTAGCCTTCGATCAGTTTTTTTTTGTTTGTTTCACTTTTTGCAATTGTGAGCATGACGATTACTTCAGTTTAATAGATGAGGAAAATGCATTGCACTGGGCTTATATATATATATCCAAGTTCAACGTTTTTAAATTATTTTATTCCTTTTTCGTCACATACAGCAATAACTGAAAAACAACTTTCGATCTGATTTTTGGCGACCAATTTTCATCTCACTTTCTTCAACAATGGCTGAAGCCACTAATAATTTTGAGTGGACCTATGAACATTCTATGCGCTCATCTGATGCTTTGCAACCCACATTGTTAAGTGGATCAATGAGATTAGGGTAGTTCAACTTAACGACCCTCTGCTCTCCGTAGCTGTGCAAAATGTCATCGAATTTGGTTAACATCTGTATTTTTGAGAGAGCTCTAATGTTTGTTTGGGAATATGTACGGGAAATATAACAAAACTGTTCATATACCTGTCGAAAATTCAGAAATAGCTCAATTTGTACCAAAATTCCAGAGGATATTATATAGATCATGGATTACTTGGAAAAGTTTATGAAAATTCTGGTAACATGTGAAAATATGTGATCCTTGAGATTTCAATTGTTTTATGGTTGGAGATCTTCAGAATAAAACCTGATACACCTGGAATCATATTATAAAGAGTACTTTGATCTTCCAACGTGGCGTTATGAGAAAATATCTAAAAGAAGTGTTTTGAATCGATAGGCAGTTAAAATTCTACCGAAAAAAAAACGCTGACCATCCTGCAGTCTTGAACAAATATCTAGACCTCTCAGAAGTCATCAGGTTATTTGTTCAAGATTTCAGCTTGATTAGATATAATTCTGAAGATCTTCAACTGCCCAACAATTCAAAGCACATTTCCCATTTATTCTCTCAAACATTAGGTTGCTCAAAAAGTATTCTGAAGCCAGTTGATCAAACATCCCTAAAACTCCTCAGGACAAATATCCATAAACTTGATCAGGTATTATTCTGAAGATCAACTGCATAATAATTCAAATCATAACTCTCAGATATTCTCTGGATGCTTGATCAGGCATAATTCTAAAGATCATCAACTGTACAACAATTCACATGAAGATCTTCAACTGCATAAGAATTCAAATCACATCTCCCAGTTATTTCTCGAGATACCAAGTTGCTCAAAAATTATTCAAAAGACCTCCATATTATCATCGATTTCCAAGAAATCCTCAAGATGTTTGTGTTAGACTTCAGCTTGGTCAGGTATCATTCTGGAGATCTCCAACTGCTTAGCAATTCCCAGTTATTCTCTTAAATACCAAATTCCTCAGAAATTAATCCTAATATTTCCAGGGTATCAAACATCTCCAAAAACTCCTCAACATAATTGATAAAGACTTCAGTATTCTGAAGATCATAAACTGCCCAACAATTCAAATCATATCTACCAGATATCCTCTCAAGATACCAGGTTGCTCAGAAATATAGATCTTTAAAAAATCTTCAAGATATCGATTAAAGACTTCAGCGTGATCAGGTATCATTCTGATCACATAACATGTCTCAGATATTGTCACATCATACCAGGAGCCACATTGCGCATCTCAAAATGAAAAACTTTTTGTACGAACGCTTGTTTGAAAAAGTTTTTCGTTTCTAGATTCGCAATGTGGCTCCAGGTTGCGCAGCAGTTATTCAAAAGACCTCCAACTGATCAAAGATCTCCAAAATATCTTCAAGATAATTTGTTTTGGACTTCAGTTTGATCACGTATCATTCTTAACTGCGCAATAACTCAAATCACATTGGCAAACATAGTTTTGAATATAAAATCTAATAAATGATCCATAAAATATTGGAAAACTTTCCATAAAAAACATCCAAATAATCCAAACATCGAGAAAATCCTTAAAAAAGTTTGAATACTCTATAAAAAATATCAATATGATCCATATTTTATGTAAAATTTAGCAAAATTATTGTAAAAATGTACCGCTAAATTTCTAAAGAATGAGCATTGAAATTGTACGAATTACCCATAAACATATTGCAATTGATCCATAACACATTCAGCAGTGAACCTTAAGCTAAAGAAAGTGATCCATAGAAAATCAAGTTTGCGCACTTAAAATATATAGCTATGTTCGGATTAATGAAATCCACTTCCTCAGAGCAGGCTCGTTTTGGACAGCTTGAAGCTGAATTAGGTTTCATTAACTTATATAAAATCAAAACCAATCTTAATGCTTACAATAAAAGCTATTTAAGCTTCAATCTGTCCTAAACGAGACTGCTCTGAGGAAGTTGCTTTCATTAATCCGAACATTCTTGAAGAACAATATCGGATATAACCTCAAAATGTCAGAGAAATCAACACCACCGTTGTGTGAAGAACAGAACAGCGATCGAAACTGTACGCTTTGTGAAGGCCATGACCACGTAGATGATATGGACCAGTGTGATGTCTGCGATTTCTTGACCCATTATAGTTGTGCTGGTAAGACAACAGCTGTAAAGAAGGTTCCGTAGACGTATGAAGGTGCCAAAAGGAACCAAGAAGTCTGTCCCAAAGAAACCACCTAGCAGAAAGAATAGTGCGAGGAGTAATGCCGGATCCGAATCTGGAAAAGGAGGAATCCCTAGACCAGTTGCAGCAGGAGAAAAGCGCAAAGCAGAAAGCGCTGGAGGAAGAGAAATTCCAAGCGCTGGAGGAAGACACGAAAAGCGATAGGAGGCCTAACGAGGGATTTTTCAAACCGAGATTTATCTTCCGTCATTCTTTCATCAAAGATTTCGCTAGATTTACGATTAAGGGATTAAAATATTATTTTAGTTAGGCACGCCAACGATGTAGAATGAGCTACTTACTAGTTACTTAAGGTTAATCATGTATATAGCGTTTAGGAACAAATTGTAGGTTACCAGATTTTAGGATCAAATTGTAGTATCTAGAGTTATATGAAATCGCGCATCATAACCAATAATCATCAATAAACATAATCAATAATAAAACAGAGCATCGACCAACTTAGCCGTAAGTCGATACTTGCTAGAAATGCATATTGGACTTTGAGTGCTTACTACGAAGAACGCTTTCCCAAGACTTTGTCACCAGGCGATAACGACGACGACCAAGGAGCTGAGGTAGCAGATTCAACACCGCAACGAACGAGTGGAAATTATCGTTGCGAAGTCATAACATCCAGAGGACGACGACCAAGGAGCTGAGCCAGCAGGATCGACGTAGCAGCTACCCGCGTGGAACCATCGACGACGATGACCAGCTGACCCAGCTATTTTAGGGAATCGATACAATTAAGTTAGGGACCCAAGTGGCAGGGTAGAGTTAGTTCTGACTGAACCTTGTAAGTGCTAACATCTATAATCGAACAGTGAATAAATAGTGACAGTGAAGTGTAAGAAATTGTTTTTTAAAAATCTAGAAAGGAATGAACATCCATTTGTCTAGATTAAGCAAATATGGGGTTATTAAATTCAATATTTTCACGAATTCTACCTCCAACTAACGTACTTCAGTAGCTAGTTCACTACAAATCACTACAATTTAATTAAACGATAGCTATTGTAACAAATTTAGGCAATTAACTTAATTTAGCAGTAAAACGTGTGCTAGATGATTTGGAATTGTATCTTCTTTTCTTTTTTTTCGTTCTTACTCCGACAAACTCACAGTTCCGTTGAAAGCTACCTTTACCGTAGCTCTCCGAATCTCCCTGTTGTCGCTGGGCTTAGCGATATTCCGAACAGTCATGATCCATTAATTAGACGTATATTATTCACGTTTCGGACACTATATTATTAATTTTGATACATGAACCATGACAAATTGCTCCATTACTGCGTAGCTACTTAGATTTACTGTCTTGCCGTGTTTTTTTAGGTAGAGGTGCGGAGCGATGAATTTATAAAAATAATTTACGTCTAATTTATGGATCATGCCTATATTTTTAAGTGCGCAAACTTGATTTTTTATGGATCACTTTCTTTAGTTTAAGGTTCATTGCTGAATGTTGTATGGATCAATTGCAATATGTTTATGGGTAATTCGTACAATTTCAATGCTCATTCTTAAGAAATTTAGCGGTACATTTTTACAATAGTATTGCTAAATTTTACATAAAATATTGATAATATTGATATTTTTTATGGATCATCCACACATTTTTAGGGATTTTCTCCCATGTTTTATGGATCATTTGGATGTTTTTAATGGAACATTTTTGAATATTTTTTGGATCGTATTATCAATTCTAAAGGTGCATGCTTAGGGCTGCCAATCACATTCTCAAAGATTCCAGGTTGCTCAGAAATCATTTAAAATAATACCGAGTGATATGAGATCACCTTGAAAACTTCAGGATTTTCAATTATCCACTGGAATGCTTCCTTATAGTTCAGGATGCTATGGTATGATAACTTCAGAATGCTTTCGTCATATTATTTTTCTGTATCACTTTGTTTATCTGCACCAACCACACATTGGCTCAAAATGGTTAAAATGTATCAATGGTTATGGCATTCACCCTATGCTTCTTCTTTTTTACGGAGGGTTATTCCAAGTCGAAATGACTGTTGTAACTAGTGAAGTGAGAAAAGTCACGTCACCACGCCTTGACTTTTCTCACTTCACTGGTGACCAAAGTCACTTCGAC